AAACATTTTCATCAAAAACCCGGAAATTGCACACGTGTGGGGAAAATCCGGAAAATATTTTTCATGGAAAATTTCGCCTATCAAACAGTCAAAAAAGTGAAAAGTGGAAAATATTTTCCTACTTCCCCGAAAAATGTGGCATATCAAACACGGCCTAATTTTCTTTTGAAATCAATTAGGAAGGTCCATGTGGGAGCCACGTTGACAGCTCAAATGTTAAATCAACCCCCATCTCACATTTGCTCTGTAAGACCTTTTACAAGCCTCCTGGCATAGCAGCTCGATCCTAAAAATGATTACAATGGTGGGTCAAGCTTCCTTAATCTTTTTATTCAGATTTTGAAAAAAAGTTTCATTCAACTAAAAACTCCCGAAAACTGAATCTAGAAGTAATTATTTTCATCGTCGATTGTTCAGAAATCAGTTTTTCGAAATTAGACTTCACACCTAACTAATTAATTGGATTGTATAAGCAGATGAATCTAGAATTTAAGTGGACTACAAAAAATTTTCCACTTCTTGTGGAGCAAAACTTCAATTTTTTTTTAAAATCAATTTTTTAGTAAATTTTGATAAATATTGATAAGTATATAATTGAAAAATTATGAATCACATAAAATATGTGATTAAAATTGAAATTGACTTATATATTAAAATCTATATTTTAATTTCTATCAATCGGGAGCTTAATACCCGTCATTTCGAACACAACAAGCATGAGGAATAGTCTCCAAGGCCCGACTTTCAAGTTCAGGAATAAATAATCGAACATAACAACAAAAAACTATATTTTATTTTCGATAAATTTAAAATGAACTACATAAATTTCTTTTTCTACTCTCTTCAATTCTTTCCTAGATCCCAAATAACAAGGTTTTAGAAGGAAAAAAAGGATTGGGAAGATTTCTCAAAACAAGAACTGCAACTGCACAAGTCATCATAAACCAACCAGACATTTGCCAACAGTAACAAAGTTGTTACATTTGTTGGGCAAACATCCTTTTTATGGTAGAATTTGTAACATGACAATGCTCAGAATGTTATTTATCTTCATGATGATAGAACATCGATAATGATCACTCACATTTATCTCTCTCTCCCCTCCCCTTCTCTCTCATAAATATTGAACGGTCAAATCTCATTATTCCACGTAGATTATCACTCACTAATATTTCATCATAGTAATAAATAACATTATTCATCGCGAAAACAGGCAATTTATAGAATATGCTAGAATTACAAAAGAACAGAGGACATACAAAATAATAGATTCGACTCGCGTGTCCTATATATACCAAACTGATTACACAAACTAGTTTACATGAAGTGAAATAAAAATGAGCGATAATCCAACAATCCTGTAACAGCTAACCCTCAGTGTTCTCTCAAACAAGGGAATGAAAAGAGAATGGTATAAACCCAAATGTGTTACAAGTACATAAAAACATATGATCATGGAGCTAGAGGTTCTTGCCTACCATGACCGTTTTTGATCCCGTCGTGTGGTTTGGTTGACTTTCCCGGCTTCCGCCTTAGCACGATTATCCAAGTGATTGCTTCCAATACTAGAGCAATGCCTCCCAAAACTGCGATCAGAATAATATAAGCATTCCTCCACCTGGGTTCGGGATTAAGTATATCTAGACCTTTGAACACATTGAGGATGCCAAGAACGAGAATTGTATAGCCAAGTCCATGATGGTAGATATTCCAGTAAAACCGATACTTATGATCCTTTTTGGGTCTCAAGAACAACGCAAATATCTATACGAAAATCCATAAAAATTTGAAGTCAGAACAGTATCATATAAACAGATTTGCTCAAAGATATCCCAAATCGAAACTTACCTGCAAAGTAGCAAGAGAGAAGAGAGAAATCCCGATATTGCGATGGCCAGTATAACGAACACCCTTGGATTGACTTCCAAGCTTAAGACCCGTCCCCCAACCAGCAACACCAATGGCGTAGGACGAGACTTGGCAGAAGATATGAAGATAAAACCATGTTGGATCGGCCGATGGAAATGACCTCACATACCTCGCGATGATGATCCCAATTGGAAACATAATTCCCCAACTCACAACATTCAGTATCCCATGAATCTGAACCAAGTATCAAAAGTTTTTTAGAGAAGACTTAATAGTAAGATCCCAATTCCCAAATTAAAATTTTGGCCAGAAGTAGAAACTAGCTAGGTACATAGTAACATAGATTTTATTTCTATTGACAAGAAGTTTTCAATGCTCTGAAATTCAGTGTACTGGACAAAAATGAAAACAGGAATGAAATTGTGTTACATGGCAAAATTAGATCAATGTAAAATTGCCCGGAATTTGAATTTTCTTCAATTTTTTCAATCAATTCAAAATCAAAAGCAAGAATGAACTGGTATAAGTAAAAAATACAGTAGAAATTTGCATTTCCTTACCTTTTTTTTCCTGGCCCTGGGGTCCCCACCACCGTTGGAAGCGGTGCTCTGTCCTTTCAACAAATCAAGGCTTCCTTTGGAGTTCAAATTCGCCGGCTGAAATTCATGCTTGTCGGGCATTCCTGCCGTCAAAGAGGGGCCCACCTGCCACACATGGTTCACCGTACTCTTCCCCTTCTCCGGCAACACAATAGTAGCAAAAAGCCGCATCATCCCGCCAGAAAATTCCGCCGAAGACTCCTTCACTTCGTACCACAACTTGGATTCCGTTATAGAAGCATAAGAAGTGATATTATACGTCTTAAAGGTCATTGCGCCCTTGGAGTCTTTGAATGCCATCATGGCCTGGGACCCGACCATGCCGGTGGCGGTTGGGTTTATGGCCCATGAGATCCAGCCGTTGGGCTTCGCCGGAGCGGCGATGAAGGCTACGGAGAGGGTGGAATTGGCCGGTTCGTAGGTCCAGTGAAGGTAGGAGTTAAGTGAAGGGAGATCGTTGCAGAAAGTGTAAATCCTGTTGCTGGTGAAAGTCTGTGACTGACAGGTGGCCGAATGTGACGGTGAAAGTAGAGAAAATGTTACCAGAAAGAGAGTTACTAAGGTTACAGAAGATGCCATTGAAAGGAAAGTAGCGTAATACAGAGATACAGAGTTATATATAGAGAGAGAGAGGGAGAGAGGATTTGGAATTGGTTGTGGCCACAGAGAAGAAAGATTTTTTTTTTAAAAATAAATAAATGTAGTTATTTTTTTTTATTAAATAAAATATCCATCTTCTTTTATCAACTGCTGCAACAAATTTCTGTAATTAGTATTTCTAATAATTCTTTAATAAAAAAGGCATTAGGGGATAAGTTTCGTTTTTTTTAAAAAAATTAATTTGAAGTAAACAAATAATTGTAGGGATTTTCCTACCTTCTTTTCCCTACTTTGGTCCCTAGCTAGGGGGAGCTTTAGGTAAATGTGACAAGAATAATTCTACTTGTATATAATTATTTATAGATTGATGATATGAATAGTATTAACGGTTTTCATTTCTTTTCATTCTCTTATTTTTTTCTCTCTTTTCCACATTTTCAATACGTAGATCGATCTGTACAAAATTATGTACAAATAACATTACTTATGTGTCAAAGTTGTCTTTCTGAGAAAAAAATGATGCTTGAACAGGCTCAATGACAGACCACAAATTGATAGACAGACTTGGCAGCACCGTTTGGATGTTTTATTTTTTTATTTTTCACACTGACCAATATTTCTTTGAATCTGTTTGTGTAACATAATTGTTTCGAGAATAATATTAAAAAATAGTGGGATAAATGATCTATGATGAAATTTATGTCAATAATTATATGATATTAGTGTTGATTAATTTTGATTGAAATCAATATCTACTAGTGTTTCAAACTAAACTAACAATGACAATCACTATAGAATCGATGGCAATGTTGGAAATCAAAGACGATTCTTCAATAACGACACTAGATCGTCGAATTCATTCATAAAATTCTATTCTCTTTATACCTTTTTACTTTATATAAAGTTAAAATGTCTTTTTAATTTTTCTTATAATATTAGCTAATGACAAGTTATTCTCTTAATTTTTATTTTGTTTCTGGCGGAATTTTCAATTAGTATTTAGTTTTTACAATTTTATCGATTAATTTATTGATACAATTTTTATGATAAATTAAATTTGTTAAACTATTTATGTTTTTGATGTTACTAACTAAAAAATAAAAAAACAAAGACTTAAATATATAAGTTTTAAAAATGGGGGCATTCGATAAATTTAAGATCTTGGAGGACCGTCGCGCTCGCCTAATGCTTAAGATGACTATGTTCGTCTTTTTGCCTTTTCAAATTTATTTTATTATTTCTCATGTTTGTTTTTATAAATTAAATTTCTCGTCTTTCTTAAGTAAAAAAGTAAAGGTTTCAAAAATAAGTTCTTGGATGTTTTTATTTTTATAAAAAGAGATTTTGTGGTAAAAATTTTAAGTTAGTAGAGTATGAGTGAACTGCATCTTTTATAAGTACTAGTAAGATACACGTGCAATATACGTGTCATAGTATAGTTGGCTATATGATAACGTAAATATAAAAAAGAAATTATTTGTCTTAAGCATTAGTTACATTAAACTTAAAACATTTGAAATGATGATAGGTGACAAAAATAATATTAAGAGATTTGATTCAAAGTTTATTTTCTAGACTTTGCGTTTGAAGATCTCTCTGTTATTTTTTAAAAAAAGACAAATGTAAATGATTAGGTGTTGATGTCCTACTAAAAAGATAACGAAATTCAACATATAACCCTCTTTTTTTTTTTTTTTTTTACTATTGAGGTAAGGCATTATGCCTCCTTCATCTCGTACTCATAGAATCTCCAATTACATTGTCAATTGTATCAGTATTTAATTTCTTTATCAAGACATTATGCAAGACGTATGTAGTCAAGACTAATTAATTAATGATAATACAGTGCAGAATTTAGGACAAATCAAGGGTCTCTATCAGTATTCAAACCACAACACAACGAAAACTTCCATCATAAAGGCAAAAAGAATGACAAACGATCACCTAACTTCATAAATTCCGTCGAATATCTTTTCAGCGTGTTCTAATGATACTATACATTAAATCCATTAAAAAAATCAAAATAATACATTCCATAAAAGATGTTTGTCTACCAGTACTACATGATATAGGAGGATTTCTCTGAAAATCATTGAATTCCTTCAATATCCATTTTGATGCCATAAATTTATCCATTTTAACTGTAAAAACTGGAAAAAAAAATGAAATTGAGAGAAATTGGTGTTAGTATGGGGGTTGAGGGTGGGATAGAAAATAAAAATTAACGATTATGATTTTACGTTTAATAATTTAAGATAATTTTTACATTTAAACGTAATCGACAATATATTTATTATTATCACATTTTAAGTTTTTTTGTAAAAATTTAAATGGGTCTAACTGGATATTTATATCGTGAAATATTGAATCAAACGAAAAATTGTGGGTAAATAAAGTTCGAAAAAAAGGCATTGAAATGAGGTTGTGATTGTAAAGAAATATAAATAATCACGATTTTACGTTTCACAATTAATGTAAAATTATTTTTGATATTTAAAATTTATCGATCATATATTTATCATGGCCGCACTTCAACATTTTTAACAAATTTTAAATCGCTTAAAACGAATATTTGTAATTTAAAATATTGAATCAAACGTATAATAATAATAATAATAATAATAATAATAACAATAATAATAACGACTTAGACTATTTAGCCAAACCAAGCAATAAAGTCATTTGGCTCAACTCGGCTTATGAACAGTAATCACCAAAATAACTCTTTTATTTATGTAGGATAAAATAAAACCATCAAACTACATTTTTTCAAATGTTTTTACTTCCTTCAATTTAAAATTAAATATATAAAAACATATACATTGCATCATAATTTTAAAATAATTTTAGACCAAGTTTGATTGCCATATTTTTCATGAAAAATATTACATCCGAAGAAAACGAATTTCATTTTGACCGTTTGATTGTAACGTGGAAATGGAAATCGAATTCCCAAGATACAACTATTTTAAACGGTATTTTCTTTATTTTCATAAAAACGAATTTCTATGAATTTGATGGATTTTTATTTTTCGACTAACATGAAATTTAAATTATTTTCCACCCTTAGTTGACTGTAAGTTTGGTCCAAAAACACCCGTTGTTTGTATACTCTTCTCTGTTTTCCCTCAAGGCAAACACACCTTTACGGAAATCGCGGGGTGGTTGTGTGACAGATATTCTTTTTGGCGGAAAGGGTACCAATAGCATAGTGACACGTATGAAGTTAATGGGTAACACGACAAGCGTGTGGAAGTTATGATAGTATGCCTGCCTAAAAATACGCCGTTAATGATGGCTCCAAATGATCATGGCTTGATAAAATAATGTAATATTTCAAACGTTTAAAAAAAAAATGGAGAGAGAGAGAGAGAGAGTTTTGAGAATCGTGGGTTCAAAACTTCAAATCAATTAGTTTGAAGAAGTATTTTGAAAATTATTTTTTACCACATTCATTGAGACTCAGCCTCTGTTTGGTATCCATTCTATTTTTCATTCTCATTCTTCTACTAATTTTTAACTACACATTCATCAATAAAATAATATTTTCCATCACATCAATAACTTTTCCTTCATTTTCAACCACAAAAAAAGTGTGATTTGACACAAAAATGCATTTTTTTCTAGAATAATGGTTACCAAACGGTACCTCATTATCATTTTTACTTTTCATTGGCCTTTTAAAATATCATTTTCACTTGATAAAATAAAATATCTCCGAATAAGTTTTAATTTTTTTCCGAAGTTTTGAATATTCAAAGATGAATATTGATTCCCAAAAAGAAAAAAGTAAAGAATCAAAAGTCAAGTCGAAATCAAAAACTTTCCCGGGGTGCCTTTCTTCTTGGCACAGAAAGGAACACCGTGCAACAGTAATTTGCTCCACTAGACTACCTTTCGCCTTCTTTCGGTCGTTTCGGGTCGAAAGAAAATTTGATTATAATTTGTAAAAATCTTGCAAGGTTGACCTTTTTAAAATGAAACCTCAAATCTTAAAATAGTATCAGAAACCATTAAACTCCAACTAGCATTTTGATCCGATTAAGACTCAAAAAAATTGAGCGCACAAATTTCAAGATCAATCTACTAAAACGAGCCACCATCTTATGGGGCCACGTTAAGAGATACAATTTCACATCAAGTAAAAATGAAAATATAGACTAACTTATAAAAGATTTGGCTACTTCTCTTAATAAGATTAACCTTTCAAGATAGAACACCAAATGAATTAGTTATCAAAAGTTTATAAATTCACCTGACGTAGTAGTAAATTAATTGATCGATTTTGAAATTTTTTTTCTTTTTTGTTACAAGAACAAATTTTGGACTAGTACTCCATTTTTCTACCCCCTCTAACCTATTTGATTCGATTATTTTAACATTGCAATTTGATAATAAATAAAATTCAAACATAGCAAATAATATACACATATATTAAGTCCATATTTGGTAAGGATTAAAATCAATAATTTAATTTAAGTCAAAATCGACAGTTAGTTTTAACCACATATAATGAATAAAAAGCATGAATAATATAAACAAACAAAGAAACATTAAAAGATCATACATTTGTTCAAAGATGAAATCATTTTTTGTAAGTTTATTATAGGCGAAGACTACTTGTGACTTCTAAGTTGCATCTATTCTTATGTATGTGTGCATACTTTAATCAGACTAACTATATTTAGCATTTGTTTGAGCCCCTTTTTTTTTGGGAGGAATGCGTTTCGTATAGTGATTTTTCGGAGAGTATACGGTTAAAAAATATGAATTTTTTTTGAGTTTATGTGTAAAATTATTTTACGAAAGTGAAAATGAATTTTGGAAAAATGAATTTTGAGAAAAATGAGGTTGAAAGGGGCTTGTAATAAGTAGTACAAAAAATTATCTTATAGAAAGTGAAAGTAATTAACTGGTTCTAGAAGAAAACATACAACAAATTTTAGCAACTGTTTCGGGAAGACGATGTATCAGGTCAA